TAAAAAAAAAAAAAAAAAAAAAAAAAAAAAAAAAAAAAAGATTAAATAATTATATTTTATTTAGGAAAATTATAAAAAATTACTGATCTTTAAATTATGAGTGTATCAATACTACTAAATAGAATAAATTAAGTATAACAACAAATAGGTACCAAATTTTTATCTTATATATATGCAAAAATATGAAGAATGTTTTATGTTATCTTTTTGGGTTTATAGGTTATTTTTTATTTTATAACAATTTATAAATTTAAAGTTTAATAACCAAAAAGATAAAATTGCATTAGAATTGTGTTATAATAAAAATGAAATTTTTTTTGGTAAATAGAATTTTTTTTTTATTGTATAATTATTATTGAATATTTAGATAATATAGAAGAATAATAAAAATGTTTAAAAAATGGATATATTTTTTTAATGATAATGGGAAAAAAAAAAAAAAAAAATTAAAAATACCTTAAAGTTTTTTATAGACACAAAAATTTTATTTCTTTTTATCCTTTTAGTATAATAAAAAATTCTAATATGATGAAGATATTTCATTTTAAAAGCTACTTTTTTTTTTTTTTTTTTTAATTAAATAAATTATATATATAAAAAATAAATAATCGAATAGGATTTTTATTTAAATATAATATCAAAATAAAAAGTAAAGAAAAAACAAAAATTATATATAACAGTATATAGTAAATAATCATCATATATAATGTTCATTTTACATGTATAAATTTATGACATATATTATTCTTATAATTGATATCTATCAATTTTTCAAAATTTTACTATCCCCACTTTAAAATAGTTTAGTCTTATTTTTTATTATACTTTATTAAAGACTGAAATAGTAAAAACTTTTCATATTTTTTAAATGATTTTGTATTAGATAAATATTAAAATATATGAAAAAAAAAAAAAAAAAATATGCGCTCAATTTACATTATTATATCAGTAATAAGGTAATAAATTTTTTTTTTTTTTTTTCTACAAAAAATATAAAGTTATACAGGTGGCATAATTCTGTTGATACAAAAATAATATTTCTTGAAAAAATTTTAAACTTTTATATTCAATATTTTTGCTATTTCTTTACTATATTCCTTTCATATAATTTTACTCATAATAATTTTTTAACTTTTCTTTTTTATATAAAGTTATGAAATGATTTATTTAAAAAAGTATTTCAAAAATTTAAGAGATTAGAAAAATAATATTAGCGGAAATTACGTAATAAAAATGAGAAGACAGAATATATTAAAATATTAATATATATTTTCAACATTGTAATTTCAGAATAAATTATACTTTTTAATTTATTTTAATTATTTTTATGAATATTCTCAAATAAATCTTTATAAATATCATTTATTATTCATTCCTCTCTATTTTTAATTATCTATAAATATAATGCAGATAACTTTGTACTCAATAAATGTAGTATTTTTGTTAAAAAATTCTACTGTATAAACAATTAAAAGAATTAAAAAAAAAAAAAAAAAAGATTAATTTTAATTTAATTAGATTTTAAAAATTTATCATTTTTTTTTTTTTTCTTTTTCTTTTATTAATGTGGCTGTATGTCTACATTAATATTCTTAATTTTATGCTTTATGAAAAGCTTGATAATGAAAAATTGAATATTTAAAGTAATAATTGTAATAACATTTGTTATTAAAAAAAAAAAAAAAAAAAAAAAAATTAAAATGTAGTAATAAAATTAAAAAAAAATAAAACAAAATGTATCAAGTTCAATTATAAAATGTAAAACTGAGAAAAACTAGCTGTAAGATTCATTTTTTTTTCTCCTTTTTTTTGCTTAAGTATATTTTTTCATTTACTCTCATTAGACAGTTTTTTTATTATTAATTATTAATTTTCATTTTATCAATATTTTATTTCAATTATTTTCTAGTAAAATGTAAACTTTTAAAAATTCGTTAAGTTTGTTGTGTATATTGAATAATGTAGTGATATCAAAAAATGCCTTTCAACTAAAAAATTTATACATAAAATTACTCTTTAAAATAATAAATCGTGCTAAAATTTTTTTTATGTAATCATATAAAAAAAATTACAACTTTCTAAAAGTATATATATATATCACTTAAAAATATAAAAATTCTTCAAAAAAATGTGAATATTTTTTCGTTTCTTTAGATGTGTGTGCAGTAAAAAAATTGTGTAATAAAAATTTTTATACAAATTTCATTATAAGAAATTAAAAAATAAAAAAAAAAAAAATTAAAATAATATACAAGTATCAAAAATTAATTAAAATAAAATAAAAAAGAAGCATCAAAATATAAAATAGTAAATTAATATATATATATATAATTCTAACGGTGATTCAATATCAAAAATATTTATTAAAATATCAATTAAAAATTTTTTAGATAAAAAAATATGTATATATAAATATATAATAAATAAATGAATAAATAAAATAATATAGATTTTATAATAAAAATTAAAAATAAAATGATGTAAATAAAATTTTGCACAGTCTATTTAAAAAATAAAAAAGTAAATATAGAATTATTCTATTTAAGTAACAAAAAAAAAATCGAAATAAAATAAAATAAAACAAGATATATAATATTTATAATGTTCTTTATTTAAATTATATTTATTCTAAAAAATATATATTTGTATAAAAACTGTTTTTCTATATAATGTTATTTTATTCCTTATGTTTTAAATAATGTTTGAAATATGTTAATTGCAAAAATAATTTAGAATTATTAATTTTAAAAATAAAAAAAAGAAATGCTTGGTACTAACTTTATTTTAAATTTTTTTAAAAATAAATTTAATGATTTATCAAAAAAATGTTTAACGTGTGTTATAAGAAGTTATAAAAGAGCATGTCCTCATATAAGTGATTTTGAGCCATTTGGTATTCAAAAATTTTTGTTGAAATAAAATTGTAAAATATTTTAATGTTAATATATATATATATATAAATTAATAAGAATAATTAAAAAGTATTTATCTAAATATATATATATATACAATTTTTTAATATTTCTTATCAGCTTCCATGTATTATTTCAGTGGTTTACATAATTATAGAACATTTTATTTATTAATAAGGATAACTGAAATATTTAATATAAATAAATATAAAAAAATATATATAATATTTAGTACAGATAAATATGATTTTAAAACTAATGGTAACGAAACATTCTCCTTTTCTACTTTTACAACATTCTATTAATATTATTTTAGAATAATCATTACTATAAATGATATAGATGTTGATTTCATTTAAATTTAATTAAACATATTATTATGATCTTACTAAGTCATAATTTAATAATATTTTTTTTTTTTTAGAAATTGCTACAAATAAGAAAAATAGAATATACACTGATCAAAGAATAGATATAAAAATTAGGCAATGTGACGAAACGTTAAATGTTAATTTATTTACAACAAAGTTAACAAAAAAAATTCATATAGGAGAAATAAAAATAGATATTAATTCAAATATTGTTATGAAATCATTTCCTAAAAATCAATGGTTAAGTATTAGAAAAAAGAAAATATTGATACACATATATTTATTTTAAAATTGTTTAAAATTCTAAAAAATTTTATTAGGTTCGTATGTTTCAAAGATGGCCAAGAAATTTGTAAAGTGCAAATGTCCTTTTACAAGAGTAACATTTAAAATAATAAAAAAATAAATATTTTTTTTTTTTTTTTTTTTTTATTGAAATAAGATTTATATTTTTATATATTTTCTTTATTTTTTTCCTTTAAATTATTTTTAATTTTTTATCTAATAGTTCAAAAATATGCTTGCCCTAATGAATGTATGATGATACAAGATGGCCTAGAAATGTGGAAAAATAGCTCAAAAAACTTAAATAAAAATAATTATAAGAAAATAAATTTTCAAGATATTCATAAAAACTTTGATGATGATGATGAAAATCTATCTATTATAGACATTGATACTGTAATAAAAAAAATATAATTAGTCTTATACTAAATAATTTCATCATTATATTTTTAGATATATATAAACAAAAATATTATTAAGATTATTTATAATTATTTTTTTATTGTATATATTTATATATATATATATAAAATTTCTTTTTTGAATTATTAAAATCTTTTAATTTTTTTATTTCCAATTAATTATTATTTCTTTTTTAAAGGATATAAACGACATAAGTTTAATGCAAAAATTGAGATTAATAAGTTTTGTTCTAGAACAAGAAATATTTGTATTTGATTTTTATGCTTATGTACCTAAATATATGTCTGCTAAAGAGATAATGGGTATTTTTTTTTTTTTTCATTTATTATAATTATTGTTATTATTGTTATTGTTTGTTTGTTATAACTTTTATAAATGATTATACATATTTTTTTAGTTAATATAATTTTTTTATATATTTTTCATTTTATAAAATAGGTGAATGGTTTTTATGTTTTCTTTGTTTCAAAAATAGTAAAGAAGATGAAACAATTAATATTGAAACAATAATAGAAAGAAATATACATAGAGATATAAATATTCCACTGTTTAGTATACATAGGATAGTTATTGATAATAAAGACAATACAAATGCAAGTATTATATATTCCTATGAAGATGTAAAATATAATTTATGTATTCATTCTAAAAAACATCTTTCTTATATTATTGATGCTATAACACTTTTTACAAATGAAGTAATTTTAAAATAAGAAATAAAAAAAAAATATATATATATATATATATATATATTTATAATACAATATATATGTATTTAACATAATTTATAAATTTAGTTAAGAATATTAAAAGAATCTTATGGTGAAAAATTAGAATTACGCAAAAATAGAATAATGCAAGAAACCAATATGAGGAAATTAATAGGTAAATTAAAATTTAATATATAATAAAAGATTTAAAAAAATTATAATTATTATTTTTTTTTAGGAAAAAGAAGAGTATCATCTCCTAGATTTCGTCGTAGTTTACCAAAAAGTACAAATAAAATGATTAATGAAATGTATTTAGAAAAAAGTAATTCTACAGAAATAAAAGAGAAAAAAGAAGAGTTTGTCAATGTTAAAATAATAGAAAATAATAATAAAAATGAAGTAGAAAATAACAGAGAATCATGTAATTATGAAATTTAAAAAAAATTATTTGTTCATCATTATTTTGTTAATATATAAAAAGAAAAAATCGTAAAAAACGAGTAAAGTGTAAAATATAACAACTAATTAAATATTGCAGGTTCCAATTTTGTTTCTTAATTATAAAAATTTATAACTATATTTTAAATTTTTATATTTCTATTTCCTTTATTTCTTTTATTTCTTTTATTTCTTTTTTTTTTTTTTTTATCCGTGATGAGTATTACTTTTAAAATTTTTCATGTTTAATACTTTTAATAAAAAAACACTAGAAACATGCATTAAAATAAAATATATGAACAGTTCATTAAAGAATAATGTTTTTTGTAAGTTTTTTTTTTTTTTTTTTTTTAAATACAAAACAAATAATTTTATATATATTACTTAAAAAAAATTTATATATAAAAAGTATTATTATTTTTTATAGTACTATATTAATTCATATAAAATATTCATTGTTGTAATTAGTAGACAATATAAGTACAAAATAATAAAAATAACTATGATAGAATATGATAGAGAACGATAATGAAAAATATAATTTAATTATTTTTTTACTTACTTATATGAATTAGAAAATTCATGTGAAGTATCAGAAGTTATTCTATTTGTGTATATGTTACGTTGAATTATTAATGAAATTATTATAGTAAAGAATTAAGTAATTTTTTAAATCATTCTTAAAGCAAATAATAATGAATTACTAGAAATATAAAGAAGTTAAAAATTATCAAAATTTTTTCTTAAAATAATTTATATATATTATATATAATTAATTAATTGAATATTTTTTCCGTTTTTTTTTTTTAAATAATTTATTTTGTATTTCATTAAAAAATGTTCAAAATATTAGATTTTAATATTTTATAATTTTATTTGAATATCATTTTTTTTTTTTACTAATATTTATTATATGTTATCCATTGTTTTATGATCATTTTTATCTTTTTCTTCGTCTCTTTCCTTATCTTCTTTAAATTCATCTTCAGTTTGTATTCCTCTAAGGGAAGGAGAAAAAAATTCCTTATGAATAATCAAAGTTTTATTTACTTTATCTTTTTCATTAATATTTTCTTCATACTTTAACGATATAAACTTAGGATAAAGCTCTTTTTGATCTTTATTAGAATGGCTTTTATTTTCAGGAAAAATAACTGTAACATTTTTTGAGCTATTAATTACAGCCATGTTTTGTGATGCTCCATCATGCAATGTACTGTTTTGTGTATCGATACTTTTTTTGGGTTTTTTAAATATTGTATTTAAATCATCATTTTCTCTATTTTTATCAAAATTAATATATATATCATTTTCTTCTTCATTACTGTTATCATCATCTTCGTCTTCATTTCTATTCTCATCATCTTCATCTTCATCTTCAAAATCATTATCATCTCTTGTATTTTCATTCTCATAGTCTTTGATATTTTCATTCTCATCATCTTTGCTATTTTCATTCTCATCGTCTTTGATATTTTCATTCTCATCATCTTTGCTATTTTCATCCATGTCATATACGTCATTCTCTTCATTATTATTGTAGTTTTCTACTTTATAATATTCATTATGTTCATCATTCTCTATCGTTTCTTCATTTTTATAAGAGGGATAATTTTCTATCTTTTCTTCAAGATTATTATATAAATTATTTTTTATATTATTTTCGTTGTTATGAGAATAAGTTTCTTCTTTGTTATCATTCTTACCTGATAAATAATTTTCTTTATTAGAACTGCTATAATAATTTTTTGTAATTTCATAAGGCTCTTCCATATCATATTTTATCTTGTCATTATATATATCTTTTTTTTTATTTATTTTTATTTTTCCAATTTTTTTTATTTTTTTAAATAAACCTTCACTATTTAAATGAATAATCTTCCTTTTTTGAACATTTATTGTCATTTTACCAGAATATACAACTTCATTATTTTTGTAATAATTGCAGTAGCATGATATTACCTTATTTTCATGATTTTCATTCAATTTTATGTATCTTGTATGATAATTTTTCATTTCTCCAATTATTATATTAGAATTAGGAAACACATATGTATTAGGTAAAATATCTTGAATATTCTGATTTTCATTAACATATTCAAAACAATAAAGTGGATCAGTTTTAAAAAATCCAATATCTTCATGTGTTTCATCATCTAAGGATTCTTTAGTAGCTATATCATATAATTGGTTATTTTTCTTATATTTTCTAGGTTTTCTATATGGAGGCCCACATTGAAAACCGACAATCTCATTTGAAGCATGAATTACACATTCATTGTTGTCATTCATTTTATTTAAAATTAAAAGATTACTTAAAAATTGTTCTCTTTCTGCATAATCTTTATAGAAATCATCAAATTCATCTATTTGAAAAGAACATCCTTTTGTTTTATTTGAATTTTTTTTAAAAAAAATATTAACTATCGAAAATGACGGATTCGAATCATTTTTTTCATTATTTATTTCATTTTGACAGGAACAATATAACGAAATATCATTTTCAACAAACAAAGGTATAAATAGTTTTTCATAACCATCATCATTTCTTAATTGAGATAAAGAACCAGGTATCACTTCTTCAATTTCTTTTATATATTCAGTGGATGTTCCTTTTATATTGTTTAATAATAATTTATCATCAACAAAAGATGAAAAGCATTGAACTCTCTCATAATCATTATTTTCGTAAAGATCTTTTTTTTGACATTTTAATTTTAGAATATGATATGGGTCAGGATTGACATAAAAATAATTTTTATCTGTAGATATAAGTTCTTTTTCAGTAAATGTAAACATATTAATAGGATAGTTATCCATCTCAAGGGCCTCATTAATATCTCTTCCAAGTAACTCTAAATTTTTCTTATTATTATTTATTTCTATATTATCTTTGTCTGCTTTGCAATTTATTGATTTAGTTTCATTATGGTTTGGAAAAGTGTAATTAGATTCACAATCTTTTTCTATATTATTCTTTTCTTCATTTTCTTTTCTTTCTTCATCTTTCTCTACATATTCTAAATCTTCTAAATGTGGTAATTCCTCAGATAGTATTCTTCCATCTTTGTTAGGTGATGTTTCTTTTTCTTCTGCATCTGATTTAGGGATTACAAGATTATCGTTTTGTGCAGATTCATTATCATTAATGAATACCATTTCATTAACTGTTTCAGTAATTGTATTAGTTTCACTTTCTTCATTTACAGAAACGGCATTTTCTATTACTTGTTCAGTTGATTCGGTATGTATCTCTGTTTGATCATTTACTTCATTACTAATAAATATGTTTTTTATTATTTGGTCAATTGCATCACTAAATATGACTTTTTCATCATTATTTTCATTATAGATTTCATGATTTTTTTTTTCATTAAGTTGATCTAAAATATTTTTATCAAGAACATGTAAAATCATTTTTCCTTCTACTTTAGAAGTTAGACCAGTTTTATGAATACAAGAGCATTCCAAATCAACTTGTACATCGTTATCTTTAGGTATAGCGATATATCTAGGATAAACACTTTCATAAGAAGATTTTTTTGGAAATTCATATGGATAACTAAGTGCAGTAGGTAGAACATCTTTGAGATCCTTTTCTTCTCCTTTTATATAAACTCGTTTAAAACAATTTTTAGGTTCGTAATAAAATTTTTTATAATAACTTTTTTTATGATAGACAGCAGCGGTACAATTTATACCTCCAACATCTCCAGGAAATAAATCTATTTCACAAAATATTCCTTTGTCAGCAGTATCATTAAATGGGGTTGTTAAAAAAGATTCCCCTATTATATCTTTTCCCATAAAAGTAAAATCACAACCTTTAACTTTTTGAAGATTCTTAGAAATTTTTATATTTATAACTCTTATTTCATTACCATTTTCAGTTGGAACTTCACAGCCACAATAGATAGAAGTATTTTTTGGAGAATACATTGGAGATATGAATTGTGTAAAACCTCCTTTAATTCCTGGAACTGCTATTGCTCCATCAACTAAAAGAGTACTTAAATTAAATCCACTATTTGAATTTTCTTTATTTCTTGCCATTTTTTCAGAAAAATGTACTAAGTGAAAGCATTTATTAGGAATCATATTAGATTCCCAATATTCTGATAAAAAAAAAAATTTATTTTTTTTTTGTGTAGGACATTTTAAATAAATAATATCTAAAGGTTCTGCTTCAATTACACAGTCTTCATCATTGTGTTCTGTAAAATCACATAATTTTATTGAATAATTTAGGCATTCTATTATATGAAAATAAAACAAAATCAATATTATTGCTTTCAAGTATATATTTCTCGAAGTTCCTTTCATATTCATATTCATATATATATATATATATAATATATCTTATGCAAAAAAATTTTATTAATAAAATATTTTATTTTTTGTAAAATATATTTTTGAATTATTTATATGTATGCTATTATTTTTTTATTAATATTTTTCTCTTTTATTATTAAATTTCATATGTATAACTTTTTTCTACACATTCTGTATGTAAATAATTATTATAAGCATAGTAAGACATTTATAAAGCTTTCATGAAAAAAGATATTAAAAAATTATGTTAAAAACGATATATACATATCTTCATATGTGTTTTTAATTCTTAGTCATTTAAAAATGTCTAGATGAAAAAATGAAAATGAAGAAGGTATGAAGATATTCAAAAATGTAAAATTTTTATATGCATTTGATTGCAGAGAAATATAAAAAGTAATTCTTTGAATGACTTTTGCATTTATTATGTGGTGTAGTAACTAAAGTGTTCAGAAAAAGAAACTATTAATTTTAAAACACTTTATAATAAAAGATAAGAAATTGTGAAGCTATATATATATTTCCAAAAAATTCAAAAAGCTTAAAATATAAAAAGTTCTCAATAATAATTAGAAATTTTTAAAATTTTAAATTCTTCATATTATTAAAATAAGAAAAAAAGAATTTGCAGTTTATTGAAAAAATAGTTGAACACAGTTGCAAGTTAAATTGCTTTTTTTTTTTTTTTTTTAATTTTGCATAGAGCTTTTAGACATAATTTTCATTTATTTTTATTTTATAATTTTTTGTTACTTTTTTTTTTATTATTGTTGCAAAGCAAATTAAAATTTTTGAATTTTTTACAACTTATAATTAATTTTTATATTAAATATTTTATTTCATTAGATGCAGGAAACTAAAAAATGAAATAGGAAAATATTGTAGAAACATTAGATGATTATAACTTTTTAAAGTTAATTAAGTTTTCAATAATCAAATTATTTTAATGTCTTTTTTTTTTATTACTTTTTTTTTTTTTTTGTTTTGATAACGTTTTTTTTTTTTTACTATAAAAAAATTTTTAATTTTTTAAAATTCAGAAAAAGTGCAATATTCATATATTTTTAAAAACGGCGTACGAATATAAATATCATCAAATATATTGATTTATTACTTTTCAGAAAAAATAAATTTTTTCTCTTTAATATACACATTTTTATTAACAAGAGAGTGAAAACATCACAAAATATATATAAGTAAATGTAACTATACTTATACAGCAAAAGGATCGTTTTCTAATAATTTATATTATACATATACATATATATATATATATATATATATGTAATCTATTTATAATAGAAAAATTAAAATTTTTACTAAATATAAAATTAATTTTTTAGTGCACTTTATTGCATACTTTTAATAATAAAAAAATTCATAAAAATTCATTTCATTTTAAATATATATATATATATCTTTTATTTACATATATTTATAATATTAGTTTTATATTACTAAAATTATATATAATATCCTCAAAATGAAATTACTTAACATATTTTTATGCCTTTAGTTAGAATGTTATAAATAATAATAGTTCTAAGAAAAATATTTTAATATATACATGAAAATTAACTTTTTTTTTTTTTCCTTAACTTATTAAAGAAAGATATAAAAAATAACTGGTATCTTTTGTACATGTAATTATGCTTTTAGGAAGTGGATAGTTTGTTTCGAAAAATACGAGAGGCAGTTTTTTTTTTTTTTTTTTTTTTTTTTTTTTA